CTTTAGATATTTTAAAGCTGCAGGAGACCATCTGCATTCACTTTGGACTGTAATATATAAAAAGATCATTTGTGTGGATTCTCAGGACTGTTTGATGAAATGTAACTTAAAAGGTATATAGACAAGCTAATGGGACAAACCTTTCACTGGAACAGCTGGTACAACATGTGACTTTTATTATATTACTTTCACTGCAGATTAAACATCTTCACTGCTACACCAGTCTGTTAAAATGTGGGCTATATGCTTTCAAATCATGGCTGGATAAACGTTCTCAAACACTCTTTAATGTTTTTGTTAATTGATATGCTTTTAAAAATATAAAAATATTATTTAATCAAGACAGTTACCATAACAGAGCAGGTAAACTAACTCTAGCCTCCAAACACGCTAAACGTCACTAATGTCTCACATATGAAAACTCGCTCTCTCTCTTTCTTTCGCTCGCCCGCTGTCCGTTGCGGGTGTCACCCCTAAAAACTTCCCCTTCTCCCTAAACAACCAAATGTCACATGTTGCCTTATCATTTTTTTTGATTGGCTGACATGGTAAACTGGTATATAGCTTGAACTCCGCACTTTCGACCCAAGTTGAAATGGAGACTCTGACGTGCTGCATCTTGTAGCTGTGTCCTCTTAAATTGGTCATGTGATTTTGACGCGTCCCGCGACCTCAGAGGGTTAAATTAGTTAAAATGAATTCACAGATGCAGAATTTGTTCTACAATTCATCATTTAAGTAGAATCCTTTATTTCAATGTGTGTGGCTCTTGTGGTCCTCCATACTTTACACCCATAATGGTAACAGGCAGTGGCGAGAACATAACTGCTAGCGACCATTTCAAATATCGTTAAAAAGAGTAAGTTACTTTGACCATTTTTAACGTAAGTTAAATACAAAAAAGTCCCACTAAAACTCAAATTAAATGATGCCACAGTAAATAGCCCACAAAATGAAGATTTCCGTTGAACAGTAGTGCCTTTTATCCGTATGTTAAAAACCGGATAATTCTTTTAGGAAAAAACAACAACAAAACAACGTTAAATAAAGCTTACATTTCAAGCACTTACAGATTAATTCCTAAAGGCAAATTTAATATCGAAACAGCTGGTATTTCAGTGCTCTAATGGAAACTTGTTCATGTCACATAACATTGACATCCACTTCTTAACCCTCTTTATAAAAAGTACACACAATCTTTAAACCCTTGTTTAATATAATCACTCACCACTGTAGACGGTAGATTTTTCACTACATACAAGCTTAACTGAGAAGCTGAAGCGCAGTCGATGATCTTTTAAGGAGCGGAGTCAGATTGATGTACTGTTAACGTGGGGATGTGTCGTGAGGAGGTGCCGTTCACACGTCTGGAGTTTTTCTTTCTTTATCCTGAGTCAAGATTGTTCTACTTTAAGAGAGATGAGTGGATAACTGAATGGGAGACAGAAAGCCCGTCATCAGTTGCCTTTAAGGCTAGCTTCACATATAGCAACAGCAAATGGATGCTCTAATTCCCCTGCACAATGTTGCTGAAGTCAATAAAAATGGCAACAAGGCAAATTAATCACTGTGGAAAAAAAGAAAGACAAATTTATACCGTTATTGGAACAAACTATGGAAAATAAAAACATTTAATGGCAGATTATTATTGCTTTTACTTACACTTATTAATCTACTCATCTGTTTACTGAGATTATATTTTGGCCTTTATAATGGTTTGGATGTCAATACCAAACATTTAGAATCAGAAAAATAAAATGAAATCTTACAAGTTTTTTCTGCTAATTTTTATTTCCCAATGTATTATTTTTTGCCAGATAAACCTTGTTCCTTTCCTCCTTCTTTTATTAGGTACACTTCCTTTTTCTTCATGCTTGCTTCTTTCTTGACACACATGCAACACAGCTGAGCCTGAACTGTTATGCTCGTACGAAACAGACAGGCAGCGCTTATGGTGACAATTCTAGAGTCTATTAGGGTCCTTCAGCCAACAAAATCCCATGTGAAGTGTGTGAAATGGTAGCTGACATCGCTACTGTTTTCAAAATACAAATATAAAATGTGACAAAAATGTAATTCATGAATGGATAAGTTGTCCTAATGTAGTTATCTTAAGCAAACATTGCTTATTTGCTTGAGGCAATGAATTTGCATATATATATATATATATATATATATATATATATATATATATATATATAAATACCAATTTTTATTTAAAATAAACAAAACATAATAAATGTCATGAACTAGCTGTGTGCTGGTAAGAGAAGACCCAAATGCAGACTCACAGAGGCAAAGAGCAAACTCAAAAAAACACAGCTTTATTTGCTGGCTGGGAGAAACAATACAAAACTACACTGGAAAAATAAACTAAGCACTAGGGATGGGTACCGGTGTCCGGTGCCATGATGGCACTGGTTCTGTCATAAACGGTAGTAGCCAGACCGAAAAGCAGCGCACATTTCGGTGCTTTATTTCGGTGCTTTTTTTTCCTGAGCTGTGATACACTTCTAGCCAATCATTTTACGTTTCCGAGGATAGTAGGCGGGTCCAGGTACGTACGTTCTGTTAGAGCAGAGCTACAGATTAAAAATGTCCAAGGCGAAGCGGTCAAAAGTCTGGCTGTACTTCACAGCAAAATATGCAAACTCAGCAGCCTGCAACAAGTGCTTTAAGCTGATACTGTGATACTGTCAAAGGAAGTAACACCAAGAATTAAACAGCTGGCGACGCATAGCGTTTTTTTTAAAAGGCCAGAAATGCGCCGTATTTGATAGCTTGCTGCGAGACCTCACACCGTGCACGTCGGGTGGGTTGCCAGTTATCGGACCCGGAGCAACATCCCCCAAAAACCCGAAGAATAGAGTCCTGGCCCCTAGCCCTGCCAGTGTAGCAGAAATGATGAGGATGATGATGCAGCAGCAGCCGTTCTTCTCTGCGTGAGTAGCTAATTTACGTTGAGTAGGCTAACCACGTTATTACATTAATGCATGTAAGGTGAACTAGCAAACATCATCATAGCTGCATGCGGCTGTCCTCTTGTTTGATGGCAGATACTCCCTTCACTCTGGCCAAAAAGGCTAAAATGACCAAAGAAAAAGCGGGAAACAGCTAAACATGAGAGGTTTTGGACAAAGTTTGTGTTTTTTCCATTGTTTAAGCACTGCTTCCAGCCAAGAGTGATGCCATATATGCCACATAGCTGCAGAAAAGGCTAACATTGTTATCTTTTTACAAAAAAAACCAGCTGAACATGAGAGGTTTTTGGACCAATTTTGTGTTCTCCATTCTTTAAGCACCGGTTCGAGCACCATTTAAGCACCGGCACCGTTTCAAAAGTACCGATTTGGCACCGGTATCGGATAAAACCTAAACGATACCCATCCCTACTAAGCACACAGAGAGGTGCACACAGGTAAACACACACCGTACAACACAACACAGAACAAGGAAAACACAGGGCTTAAATACACTGAGGGATAACGAGGGAATGAGACACAGGAGCAAGGTGCAGGTGGGAGTAATCAAACATGAAAAGACCAAAGCAAAACCACAAACACTGACATGAGACAAGGGAACGTCACAGTAACAGGAAATATAACACAAAGACGCTGACTTGACACTGAACAAACTGAACACGGAGCAGAGAGACAGGAGTGCCAAAGACACAACTCACTGGGGAGGCAGAAGGAACATGGAGACAAGGGTAACTAGACACGGGACACAGGGAAGGCAAAGTAACAGGAAACCTATACATGAAATACAATAAACAAAGAACATAACTAAAACCAACAAAAACACTGGGTCAGAGACCCAGTACCATGACAATAAAACTCACGTGCTGGAGCCTTTATTGGCTGCTTGGGATTTTACATAATGGAAAAACACTTTTTAATATCATAAAATCATCAGGCCTAAACTGCAGATATACAAACACATATATGCACACTGATAAAGCAATAAACAATCTATGAAAAAATATAGTGCAACATTCTGGGTTAGAAATTAAAAATTAAAATACAGATTATATTATCACTGTTGTTAAATCCTGGGAACTTTAGCAAAACAGAAACCGTCTTTCATTACACAAGAATGGAAAGAAAGAAAGAAGTTATCAAAGAAAAAGAGATTCTGTGTTTTTTCCTGTTTTTTAGTCTTTTGGTTTGTTGATGCTAGCATAGAGGTTGCTGGGAGCAGGTCCAGGAGAAGAGACTGAACATATAATGTAGGTCAAAGCTTCACCTTCTTCATCGTCTTTATGGGGAGCCTGAAAAAGAATACACAGCTTTTTTCTTTTTTTCCTTTTTGTTTCCTAACCTGCCCTGTCTGGGAGCTTTAACAAACCTTTTTGTTACAAACACATTTACTTTACGGCTCCTCTTGTGAGCCAATTTCTTTTTATTTTAATATTTTTTGTTTTTACATATGAACAGATAAGGACAAAATTACTAGCCTCTCAATGAAATGTAAAATTTTTGTCAAAATTTCCCAAGGGTTTTTCTTTAAATCAAACATAAATAATTTCCTCTTGCACACCATAACATAACTATTTCAGAAAAACACAAAAATGTCTATGTTCAATATTTTCACTTCACTGAAAAGCTTTGAGCCAGAGGCCGGCCATCTAGGAATGTAACCACAGCAGACCCCACTACATGAACATGCTTTGCATTATCTTTATTCATTGGTTGCTGTACAAACCCTTAGCTGCAGTTTCTTTGCGCACAGCCTGACACACCAACAACCACGACAGGAGTTAGCCCACACTTTAAATTGGCGAGGTGTGTTGCCACTCAGGTGCATCCACCACCCCTGCAGAGGCACTGCAGACCACGCCCTGCAACAAGGTTCTTACTCCTTACTATATATGGATGCTTGGCCAGGGTTCCTCTGCTTAAAGAGTGAGAACGTGTTGCACCAGAGGATACTCCAGGAGACAGGTCAATAACTACGCCAGATCTTCCAGCCATGTGCCCTAAAACCAATGGGTAAGCAGTAACTACTGACAGGGATCAGTAGGAGGAGAAACCCCGCAACCTTAACAATCAAATTACCTGAAGACCTGGACACCTGTAGGTGGTCTCGGTGTAGCTGAGGGAGGTGTAGAGAACAACATCTTGAAGATCAGCCTGCACAGTGAAGACAACATAAAGACTGCTCAGTAATGTATAAAATGCAGATTCAACATATAAGTGAACAAATACATGTTTGATCTCACAGATTCCTGAATGGTTCCTGGAGCAGACGAAGTTACTGCAGAGTTTAAATTCTGTTCCTGAAACAAACAGGCAAATATGTGTATATATGTATATATATATATATATATATATATATATATATATATATATATATATATATATATATATATATATATATATATATATATGGCATAGATATGGATATTCATTGATCCTTATGTGAGCTTTTATCAGGTTTGCCATGAATTAGTGTTTTGATCCTGATGAGTGCCGCCTCTTCATGATGAGAACTGTGAGCTCTAAAATTTCTGTATAATCCGACATGTTTGTGTTATTGGGAAAGGTTGTTTTATTGCAGACATTCCAGCTTAATTTTCTATTTATTATCTGTCTTGTCCTAATGTGTCGTGCTGTTTTGTTGTTCTCGTGGCACAAATGAAGGAAAAAATCTAAAATTATCTGTTTCATTCTGATTAATAAACTCACCATGTTTTCATCCATCTGTGCTTTTTTCCCTAAAAAATAGAAAATAAGGAGTCAACTTTAACTTCCACAAACAGAATCCAGGTTTATCAACCTTTCTGTTTATATGTGAATAAATCCCACCAGCTCTTATCCAGATGCTGACGACAACAACAGCTGCTATAAGTGCTACTAAACCCAGGGCCACAATGGCAAGCCTGTACCAGGACCAGTCTGGGAAGAGAGTGAAAACATGAAAAGTATATTTTAAATGTATGTTTAAGTACATGATCTGAAATATCAGAGCATGCCTTTAATATTTACTGAAGTTGTAGAAAGAGAGAGATATTGTTGTCATTACCTGGTAATTTTCTCAAACCATTCATGATTTCCAGCTGTTTTGTTGTCAGACCTCCTTTAATGCCAGATTCAGTCATTATTTCCAATTTAATTGTTGCTGCTGCATATATTTCTTCACCAAAAACAAAAGAATAAAATCGAAAGGATCTTTCATTCTGTATGTTCTATAACAGTTAAATGATTTGTTTATGTATCTTCATCTGAACAAAGAAACAAAACTCTGGCAACTACTCATTAGGAAGCTGTAAGAGTTTGCTTTGTATATGTAATATTGTAAATTAAAACCCATAAATGAAGTCATTACTAACACCAGTCTTAATGACTTTTGATTAAACTTTGCTCATTCACTAACAACAACTAACATTTTCTCCTAAAATTCAGAAAGAAAAAGACTTTGCTGAAAAATTGATACAGAATATTGTTGACATTACCTGGTAAGTTTGTTGAACCATCCATTTCCAGCACTTTTATTGTAGTCACTGTGTCTAATTTAACTGTTGTTGCTGTATTTGTTTCTTCACCTGAACAAAAAACAAAATTCAGTGGCCCTTTCATTAGAAAACTTTCTGTATATTCAGTCGATTAAATCTTCAGATTAATAAAACAAGATAATATCTTAGGTATTTAGACAAAATAATGTGAATTCATTTAATAAGCTCTTCAGAACCTCTCCTGGTTTCTTACCTGATGAATGATGGCTGAAGGTAAAAAGCTGCTCTTTGTTATTTTCTGTTCTTTTTAAGCTACACTTAAAGTCAGAACTTGATATGTGACCATATGTAAGGTTCAGAAATGTCACAGTAGCAGAGCAGGAAGACTGTGATGTTTTTAAATTTGAGTAATCTCTATCCAGATCTCTTCTGTTATGGATCCACTTCACTTTGTGTCTACACCGATCAAATGTCCACACAGAGCAGCTTAAAGTCACCTCATCAGCGTTCTTCTTTTCGGTCACTGGTGAAGATGAATTGCAAGAGAAAAACGAAGCAAGAACACATATTTATTTTCATATATAATGAAAATATGCTGTTCCAATGACACCACTTGAACTAAAATATATTGTGGTGTAAATACTTACTGACAACAACAGACAGATAAACCACAGCATCTGGACCTTGCTGTCTCCCTGGATTGCCTCTAAACTGTCTGCAGGTGTAACGACCAACATCCTCAGCTGTGACCTTCTTTATAACCAGTGAGCATTCTGCTGTAACACTCAGTCTGTCTGATTTGGCTTCTTCTTTGATTTGTCCAAGATTAACCAGCTCTACTGCTGGTGTGCCTCTTGAATCTCTGAAGATCCAGGTGATAGTGCCACAGTTGTGATGAATGTTGAACCGATTTTTACAAGGCAAAGTGACTTTATCTCCATCTCTGACAGTGAAGGCAAGCGGAAGATCTTCACTAAGTGCTCCTGAGAACATGAAAGAGAAACAAAAATATTACCATTACTTGTGCAAATGCAGATAATTTACATTCTTGTGCACAGAAAAAAATGTGTGCACCAAACTCAGTTTTGCTGTAACAAAAGCACAGCTGTCTACATAAAGATTTCAGAATAAAGTAAATTTGAAAAGAAGTTGGAAAAAATTTGTTACATGTTAAATGTATCTTTACCTTTAAACAGAAGCACCCCCCAAACATTTTAATACTTGTAGGTACATGTAGATCTTCCTTTCCTACAGTTGCATTATGGATAATGCACTGTGAGCCTGGTTTGAAGTAGAAATGCTGAGTAGGGAAAACAGTGTCCCATGGGTCACAGTGGCCAAAAATATATTATATCAAATGGTAAATGGGCTAGTTCTTATATAGCGTTTTTCTACTCTGAGTTCTCAAAGCACTTTATATGCTTTTTGTGGTTTAATACATGAAATAAAATTTTTTTTAGGGTGGTTTACCTAAACAGTTCTCATATTTCGCATAAATCGCATCATTTTGTGCAATTACTGTTGATTTAAAAAGTAAAGAAATATAAATAATGAGACTGGACTAAAATAAAGTCTTTACTCTAATATGCAGTGTCTTTGTTTATTTTCAGATCTGAAAATGTATTTTTAAAATTTGTTGTTGATATTAAGTAAAAATTATGTTTTAGAGTATTTGTAAAGGTTACCTTACCTGAATAAAGAAGCAACAAAAATAGAGAAATGTTGAATAATTTGTGATCAATCATCGCCTTTTGTTCTGGTTTTCCTTCTCATCTTGTCACAACTGCAACTTGCGAACTCTGTTGTACTTGTCAAAGACAAATGTCTATCTTCTTTACTTCCTGTCTCCTCTTCATTCACGCTGTGGTTATTTTTAATGTTGGTAGGTCATATGTATTCCCTTAGTTTTTACAAACGTGTAGATATGAAAGAAAAAATGAACATACATCCTTCTTTAACCAAACTGAGACAGCAGTCTTACTTACTTTAATTGAGGTAAATTAGAGTAAATCTACAGGATATTAAAATATGTGCTGTAGAGGTTTATCTCCACTGAAGCCACAGCACACTTCCTGTCCACTGCCATATATAGAAATATGTACTTGTACCAGCAATGACATTACATTGTGCAGTGTGACATTCTGTCTTGTGCAAACTCATATTGCATATTGCTTCAGTGTTTATTAAAGAACAGAATCCATGCTGATGACAGTGATCAAGACTGTGTTCTCAATGATTTACCTTGTTTGCTGGTGCTGATGTAAAGACCAGTGGTAACCGTAGCATCAAATGTGTAAACCTGAGATTGTGTTGTAACAATGTTACATTGTACATGAAAGCTATATTGGATCTGATTGCCTAATTCAGTAGTGTTCAGCATGGTGATGGCTTGCTTGGGGATAAAATCTGTTGCTTAGTCTGTTAGTTTCAGGTAGACATTCAAACAGTACATGACCAGGGTGAGCTGGGTCTTGAAGGATTCGATTAATGCTCTTGAGACAATGGGAGCTGTGCAATTTTTCAAGTGAGGGGAGAGGACAGCTGACTATCTGCTAGGACAGCGGTCCCCAACCTTTTTTGTGCCACGGACCGGTTTATGTCCGACAATATTTTCACGGACTGGCCTTTAAGGTGTCGAGGATAAACACAACAAAATAAAACCAGTACCGGTACCAAAAAAAAAGAAGATTTATTCATAACACACAGGGAAAGACCCAGGGTAACCCAGTTAACGATAAAAATGATGAAAAAAAAAGAAGATAAAACTGATAAAAACCATGAAAACCATAAACTTCACACCTGAGTCTCAACTCTCGCGGCTAGGTACCAAATGACTCACGGACCGGCCCCGGCAGCGATAAGAGGACACCAACAGTTTCTCAGGGATGTTATTCTTTCTGAGAACCCTCAGAAAGTAGTTTGTTTGTTTGTTTGTTTGTTTGTTTGTTTGTTTGTTTGTTTGTTTCTTTCTTTCTTTCTTTCTTTCTTTCTTTCTTTCTTTCTTTCTTTCTTTCTTTCTTTCTTTCTTTCTTTCTTTCTTTCTTTCTTTCTTTCTTTCTTTCTTCACAACCTCAGGAGTGTGTGTTTGGCAAGTCTGGTCCTTCCTGCTGTTGACTCCCAAGAAGCAGAAGTCTGAGACTCTTGCCATACAGACCCTGTTGATGGTGACTGGCAGGATGTCATCTGCAACAAGTTCCTTGGTCTTTACGGTGTTCAGGAGCAAGTTGTTGTCCACGCTGTCAGCCACTGGGCCATAGGCAGATGCATCCCCCCCAGAAATTTGTCCTCAGGCTACAATCAGTCTTACGGTCAGTAAGACTAAAATAGTGCTTCTACTTAGAAAAATCCAACATTTCACTTCCTTAGTCACTTCCTCATTTTATGTTCCACTTCTATTTTTATTTAAAAGGGAGTTGTTCCATCTTTGCTGGATTGCTCTGCTCGTTTCTCTGCTGGAGAAACTCTTGCTGGAGAGCAGTGGGCTGGTTTGTGTTCTTAGAAGAGAATCTGTGTGGACTTGTGGAAAACACTAACTTGTAGAAACCAAGAACTTCTCTAGTGTTGATCTTCTATTTGAACTCTAATTTAATGTAAATAAATGGCCTGAACTTCTATGATCGAGTCCTGCATTTGAGTGTTGCCTGTTTAGTGATCCCTGAAAGTTTTCTTTCTGAAAGCATCCTGATGAGACTATTCAACACTGTTTATTTCTTTATTTGCATATTACATTATGTGTGTACACTAATATTCAAAGCCCAATAAGCTCATCAACAAATACGAGATGCAAAGGAACAGATGTAAAGCATAAAACAGATACATTTATTACTGATATAGTTGATATAAAGACAAACTAGCATGAGTTATAGCCAGTGTTACCAGTCCCATTCTGAAGAAATCACGGTGTCAATGAAAGCTCCACAGAGGCAAAAAATAAATTGCTGAAGAGGAGCTGGTCAGGTGCTCCAAAAAAGCACTACCATCCCTTTCAGACCTCAACATTGGAGTCAACTAAAATTATCCATAACAAGAACACATAGGTTTTAACAACTGAACAAAAAATAATTTGCACAGAGGTGTTCTAACTAAGAGATAAAATGAATGTTAACATGGTTGTCCAACTAAAAAACAAGAGTTGATGTTGACATTGATGTTTTTGGTCAGTGGGTCTGACAGAAGCAGCACGGTCAGTCAAACTCCATCAGAAGAGCAGACATTTTCACAGTTTACTGCTCCATCGTTTTCATTATTACACACCTTTAAAAAACAAAATGGCATTCTCACACATCAATACCATCTGACAAGTCTACATTTTGTGATCTTTGGGCATCCATTACTCTGCTTTTAGTGATTATTACCCAACAAAATAAGATTATAAAGGTATATTTGTCATTACAGTTTATTCATTTTGTAGACAACCTTGCCCAAGTCACTTCAGAAAATAAGTGCATTAAAGGTCAAGTTAGCATGCACTTGGTCCACAAAGAAAGAATGTAATAAATATTTAATAAGTCTACTTTAAAAACTCACAGTGTTTGTATCCATTTTTGCTGGTTTCCCTGACAAGACAAGACAAGACAAGGACTCAACTTTTGCTTCCACAAACAAAATTCAAGTTAATCCATCCTGCTTGGTAATATTCTGACACTTAACTCTTTTGTATATGATGATGATGACCACAACAGCTATTAGGAGTGCTAAACCCACAGCCACAATGATAAACATCCACCAGTCTGGTAAAGAATGTAAACAAGAGTCTAAGGAGCTTGGAAATAAAGCAACTGGATGTAAAATTCCTTAAAGATGTTTCAACTCTCATCTAAGATGCTTCTTCAGTTCATGCAAACAATATAACACAAACAAGAGAAATCTGTTTGCTGATTTATGTTCTGTTTAAAACAAATTAACATAAGAGGGGGAAAAAGAGGCAGCACACGTCACAACTCGGGCTACATCATCAAATTACTGTTTTATTGATCTGCATCTTCTTCCTTAATAATGAATATTGGCTAATCCTGTATTGCAATCCTTAAGCTTAAATTTCAAACTAACATTTTAACTACTGATTTTTAACTACTGATTTTATCTATTGTTCTGATTTTATCTGTTTTGCTTTTACATACTGTTTTGTTTGTTTGTTTGTTTGTTATTTAGTTAGTTAGTTTGTTTGCTTGCTTGTTTTATGCTTTTTATTTGTTTTTGTTTCTAATGTCTCTGTAAAGCACTTTGAATCACCTTGTTGTTGAATTGTGCTATACAAATAAACTTGCCTTGCAATGATATTAAGAGCTACTTATTAATATCAGTTTGAAGCTACTTCCACTTACATAGATACAAGCAACATAAAACATTGCATATAAAGGAGTGACATGAATACACGAACAAAAATCAGTTTAGGAAAAAGTAGATATCAAAATAGAAAAACAGTACATTTCTTCAAAAATGTCATTTAGATGATTTTAAATGGTTATTCTTACCTGTTTTCTTACTCTTACTTGGTGACAGTAATCTTACAGATGTACCACATGTCTGTGTACAAGATATCTGTCATTACCCGGGATTCTGAGAGATAAATTGTTTCTTTCTTTTTTCTTTTTTAATCTAGGTTTACAGTCTCTCTTTGTCAAAAACATGCAGACTACTGTTAATCTCTCAGTGCTGTTGTTTGACCCAAAGGTAAATACAACTCATCAAGACAACCTGGTTGTGTCTATCTCAGTTTATTTCAGATTTCATCAACAACTCTGTCACTTGGAATAGACTCCACCCAGCTATGATTCTAATCTAGATATATGCTTAACAAAATCTGTGGATGTGTGACCTCTGGGTATCAAGGACTGATGAAAACATTCCTCCTGTCACATACTCCTGTTTTTGTCCTTTGTTTCTCAGCCGTCATCCTGTGTTCTTTCTCTCCTCTGCCTCATTTTACAGTTTTATCTCACTCGAAATGTGTCTCCCACCATGTGAAGATGAAACGGATGATGTTAAATATTCCCATGTAATTCATTTGTCTAAGAACCCGGAGCGTTAAACCCCAGCAATACACATAGAAACTCCTGATCGATCTCTCTGACTCAAAGCTTCCCTGATAGTACAAATGTCCTCCATCTGTAATGGAGTCTATTTTGTCTAGCAGCTCGTGGACTTGGAGCCTCTCATCCATCTCTTCATTGTTGAACACGTGGTACAGACCGCTGCAGTTTTTAAGCAGTTCCTTCAGGTTGTTGTCTTTGCTGACAAACTTCTCTATGTCAATGGTGTTTTTCAGTCGGTCTCCATATGTGAACAGCACCATGGTGTGTTTGGAAACGTCAGGACTCAGCATTGTCTGCAGGCTTTTCAGCCCTTCCTGCTCTTGTTTGGTGAATCTTCCGAGCTGGAGGACGAGGAGGAAAACGTGAGGACCTGGAAAGCTCAGCTTGAGTGCTTTTAACATCTCTGCTTTCACCATGTTTATAGACAACCGAGTGCTGAAGAGTCCAGGAGTGTCGACCACAGAGATTCTGCGACTCTGAACATCAGCTTCTACTTTCTGACTACACAGAGTCACTGGGCTGGAACTGATCTTACAGTCAAACGCCTTCTTTCCCAGGATGGTGTTTCCCGCTGAACTCTTCCCCACTCTCTCCTGCCCCACCAGCACCACCCTGAGGCGTGAGCCTGAAACAACACAGGTCATCAGGTGGCGTTACACCAGTGTATCAGTATGCTCACCACCTGTGCACATAATAGCTCATTTTATAAACAGCAGATAACAATAAAAAGCATTTCAGACAGCATGTGCTTTTTCTCTTGATGTAATTTATTTTAAAAGGATCACTTTAACATTTTTTAGACTTAATAATCCAGAGGGGCACGTTTGACCAAACGTCCGGCCTGTTCCAGCCTGTTTGCTTTGATCACCTTTGAGTCCATCAGTGGCAAACAAAGTGACACACACACACACACACACACACACACACACACACACACACACACACACACACACACACACACAGTTATCAATCAGTTATTGCTTTTGAATATAGGAACATAATTAAAAGGTTCAGTGTGGATAATGTGTTCTACTGACATACAACATAAGGACATGTCAAGGGCTGCAGACAAAAAAATCATAAAAATAATTAATGAAACAAGATGCTAATCTATATCTGTATCTGAGCAGCAATCAGCCTTATGATAAAGATAATATGGTGACAGAACAGGAAAAATAAACAATATTTATGAAATATAGTTTAAAGTTTATCTAAATTTTTCATAGGGCTGGAATGATCTAACTAATTACTGCAATCCTTTGTGTTTTACTGTATGTTGCATCCTGTTTCATCTTTCACTCTGAAATATATATCTTGTTTGGGAACCCCGGCATATGCAGCTGCAACAGCAGCTCCAAAAGCAGCTCCAACTCCAACTCCAACAGCCGCTCCAGCAGCAGCTCCAGCAGCAGCAACTCCAGCAGCGGCTGCACCAGCAGCAGCTAAACCTAGACCTCCAGCAGTAGCTCCAATAACAACACCCTTTAGAACAGCCTGAATAAAGGAGTTGTCTTCCTCTGCCTTTCTTCTTGCTTCTTCAAGATTCATGTCTGGATATTTTTCCAGAAGTTCTTTAATCTTTTGTTTTATGGCTCTCTCGGCCTCTTGGAACATTTCGTTGGTGTAGAAGCCTCCTCCATTTAGTTGAATCATTGCACTGATCTTCAGCAGCAGCTCTTTAAGCTGAGAGGGATCTCTGTCATCATTGTCAAAAACATGATGATTTCTGTGACACTGACTGATGAAGCGGCGGAGATCTGGATTCTCATTAATTAATTTTTCTATGGAGGAATGTCTTTTCTTCAGCTCATCTCCATGGGTAAACAGTACCATGGTGTAACGTGATGCCTCTTTTCCAAATATTGTCTGAATGATTTTCACTGATTTTTGTTCTTCTTTTGTGAATCTGGTTGGCTGGAGCACAACCAAAAAAACATGTGGCCCAGGAGCAGCAAAGGACATGCATCGAGCAATCTCTCTCCTCACCTGCTCTTCAGATTGTTTTGTGTCACCCAGTCCTGGTGTATCAATTACAGCCAGTTTAAGGCCACCAAACTCTCCCATCTTTTTCTCACACACTTCTGTCACTGAGGAAGAAGTCAGCTCAGATTTAAAAGCATCTCTTCCTAAGATGGTGTTTCCTGCTGAACTTTTCCCAACTCCAGTTTTCCCAACTAGCACAATCCTGAGATCTGTGAGAGAACACAATAATGTTACCTGTTTGCCCCCATCAGTTTATTTTATCTACAGTGGTCCCTCGCCATAACAGGGTTTACCTTTCAAGGTCTTGCTCTTTCGCTGATTTTTTTTTTGCAATTTTGCATGCTTTTTCTTTTCTTTTCCCCCCCACACAAATGTGTTTGGCATCCTGATTGGCTGTAAACAACTGTCAATCAGTCTCCTAGTGCCATGTCTCCTGTACAGTACAGAATGCGTTCAGCTTGTCAAATTTACATAAATCTTCGATCGCTAGCAGTGTGACTCTGAAGTGCTGTACCGTCAAAGGCACCTGCGGTAGCACTCAAAAGGCAGAGGAAGATGCTAACCAACGCACAAAAAGTTGGATCTTTTGACATGCTAAAGGAAGCTAAAAGTTACCGTATTTTTCGGACCATAAGGCACACCAGGTTATGAGGCGCATTAAACGAAACAAAAGAGTCAGATAAGTCAAACTTTACTCAACTCGTTCTTCTTGCTTCGTCTACTTCTGTCCCATTGATTCATTAATATTGAATTCTCTCACAGCTGCTCTATTCCCATGTCCTGCACCTGAAAACAGGGTTTAATCTTTGGTTTCATTCCATAATACTGGACTTATTTTTCTACGAAGGTTTGAACTTCGAGGGTGTTTAAACAAGAGAGAAAAGTGCCTGTCTGAGAAAAGTGTATAAAGTGTGTAGTGAGGGGTTTTACAGCCTTAAAACATCTACAGTGGCTTGCAAAAGTATTCGGCCCCCTTGAACTTTTCCACATTTTGTCACATTACAGCCACAAACATGAATCGATTTTATTGGAATTCCACATGAAAGACCAACACAAAGTGGTGCACACGTGAGAAGTGGAACGAAAATCATACATGATTTCAAACATTTTTCACAAATAAATAACTGCAAAGTGGGGTGTGTGTAATTATTCAGCCCCCTTTGGTCTGAGTGCAGTCACTTGCCCATAGGCATTGCCTGATGACTAAATAGAGTGCACCTGTGTGTAATCTAATGTCAGTACATACAGCTGCTCTGTGACGGCCTCAGAGGTTGTCTAAGAGAATATTGGGAGCAGCAACACCATGAAGTCCAAAGAACACACCAGACAGGTGAGAGATAAAGTTATTGAGAAATTTAAAGCTTAGGCTACAAAAAGATTTCCCAAGGCTTGAACATCCCACAGAGCACTGTTCAAGCGATCATTCAGAAATGGAAGGAGTATGGCACAACTGTAAACCTACCAAGACAAGGCCGTCCACCTAAACTCACAGGCCGAACAAGGAGAGCGCTGATCAGAAATGCAGCCAAGAGGCCCATGGTGACTCTGGACGAGCTGCCGAGATCTACAGCTCAGGTGGGGGAATCTGTCCATATTAGTCGTGCACTGCACAAAGTTGGCCTTTATGGAAGAGTGGCAAGAAGAAAACCATTGTTAACAGAAAACCATAAGAAGTCCCGTTTGCACTTTGCCACAAGCCATGTGGGGGACACAGCAAAAATGTGGAAGAAGGTGCTCTGGTCAGATGAAAATAGGAACTTTTTGGTCAAAATGCAAAACACTATGTGTGGCGGAAAACTAACACTGCACATGACTCTGAACACACCATCCCCTACTGTCAAATATGGTGGTGGCAGCATCATGCTCTGGGGGTGCTTCTATTCAGCAGGGACAGGGAAGCTGGTCAGAGTTGATGGGAAGATGGATGGAGCCAAATACAGGGCAATCTTGGAAGAAAACCTCTTGGAGTCTGCAAAAGACTTGAGACTGGGGCGGAGGTTCACCTTCCAGCAGGACAACGACCCTAAACATAAAGCCAGGGCAACAATGGAATGGTTTAAAACAAAACATATCCATGTGTTAGAATGGCCCAGTCAAAGTCCAGATCCCCCCAGGCCACCCCGCTGGACACGCCACTGTCTACACAATGTTGATTCTTGGCTCCACCTTGCACTACAGCAATAACCTCCTCATTAGGTTGGCAGATAATACAACTGTGGTGGGTCTTATTAGTAACACTGATGAGTAGGGATGGGTACCGGTATCCGGTGCCATTATGGCACCGGTTCTGACATAAACGGTAATAACCAGACCGAAAAGCAGCGCACATTTCGGTGCTTCATTTCGGTGCTTTTTTTTCCCTGAGATGTCATACACTTCGGATTCTAGCCAATCATTTTACCTTTGCGAGCGTAGTAGGCGGGTCCAGGTACGTACGTTCTTTTAGAGCAGAGCTACAGATTAAAAATGCCCAAAGCGAAGCAGTCAAAAGTCTGGCTGTACTTCACAGCAAAAGACGCAAACTCAGCAGCCTGCAACAAGTGCTTTAAGGTGATACTGTGAAAAGGAGGTAACACCTCGAATCTGATGAAACACCTGGCGACGCATAGGGTTTTTTTAAAAGCCCAGAAATGCGCCGTATTTGATAGCTTGCTGCGAGACCTCACACCGTGCGCATCTACTGCGGGTGTGGTGCCTGTTATTGACCCGGAGTTAGCAACATGCACCCGAAGAGGAGAGTCCTGGCCCCTAGCCCTGCCAGTGTAGCAGAAATGATGACGGATGATGATGGCAGCAGCAGCCGTTCTTCTCTGCATGAGTAGCTTAATGTTGTTCGTGTGTAATTTACATTGAGTAGACTAACCACGTTATTAAATTAATGCATGTAAGGTGAACTAGCAAACATCATCATAGCTACATGCGGCTGTCTTCTTGTTTGATGGCAGATACTCCCTTCACCCTGGCCAAAAAGGCTAAAATGACCAAAGAAAAAGTGGAAAACAGTTAAACATGAAAGGTTTTGGACAAAGTTTGTGTTTTTTTTTTTTTTTTTTTCCATTGTTTAAGCACTGCTTCCAGCCAAGAGTGATACCATATATGCCCTATAGCTGCAGGGGATAACCCTTTTTATAAAAAACAGCTGAACATGAGAGGTTTTTGGACAAAGTTTGTGTTCTTGATTCTTTAAGCACCGGTTCATGCACCGTTTAAGTGCAGGGATAGTTCAGTAGGTAGAGTAGTGGCCCCATGATCGGAAGGTCGGGGGTTCAACTCCACTGAACGGCTACCCTGAGGTACCCCTGAGCAAGGTACCGTCCCTACACACTGCTCCCCGGGCGCTGCATTGATGGCTGCCCACTGCTTCACTGGGTGAATGGGTTAAATGCAGAGGAACTATTTCCCCATGGGGACTAACACGCACACTTTACTTTACTTTAAGCACCGGCACCGTTTCAAAAGTACCGGTTTGGCACTGGTATCAGATAAAACCTAAACGATACCCATCCCTACTGATGAGATAAACTACAGGAAGAAGGTGAATCAGTTGGTTACTCAAAATAAATGGTGCTGCTGTGAAGAAGGTGAGCAGCACAAAAATTTCTGGGTGTGCACATTACACAGGACCTCTCCTGAACATGCAACACTGCATCACTGGCCAAGAAAGCACAGCAATGCCTCTACTTCTTCTGTAAACTGAGGAAAGCAGGATCCCCAGTACCCATCCTGTGCACTTTCTATCATGTCACCATTTTCAAAACAAAGTTGGCATATCATCCTGCAAACCCTGACTACAAATCTGTAGAACTCTGCCTATGGTTCCTAAGTGCTGACAGGGTGACCTTCTTGTAGTGTTGATCTTCTTGGGATGTCCACTTCATGGCCTGTCTCTGACATAGCCTTCAATTTGGAGATGGTAGTAGGACTTATTCCAAATAGTGATGCAGCTTGAAACTGCCCAATGGCACAGGCACTAGTCTTATGAATGATTATCGTCACCTGAAGTACCAGAAGCTCAAAACTAGAGTTAACAGCAGAATAAGCAATTTGGTATTGAGAGAGGAGATTTAGCAAGTTTTTCATTAGTTTTTTTTTTAAAAACATAATTAATATTTTTTTATGCAACCCCCCCCCCCCAAAAAAAAACCCCTGTACAGTAACTATAACTGGTTCATGTAAACAGCAGGAGTTTTTGCAGTTGCAGTAGTTAGACTAAAAAAATGTGTCAGACAGATGGAGGAAATGCTCTGAAGCTGAGGTTTGAATTATTATTATTTATTGGGTTTTTTTTGCCTGTCCCGTTTGGTTCTTTTGGCATCAGAATTATTGTCTAAAAGCAAAGAAAGATGCCCAACGGATTTCCTTTACCAAATGGACCATCCCAGCCTTGCCGTATTGGTCTATTTGATTCACCTTTTATTGTTTATTTTATTTTATTTTCACTTGCTAAATACAGGATGGACTTGACTGGGGAAAAGAAAGGGGAGAAAGAATAAGGGAAACAAAAACAGCGTTGAAAAGGAACTGTGATAAAGGGCTAAAAACAAAAACCAACAAAACAAACAGACAAAAAATACATATATCAATCACCTGGATCACCTGTTGAGAAAGAAAAAAGAGAAAACAAGCAAAAAAAAAAAAAACCCCAGACAGTAAGGTTTGAATTAGACACAAAGATTCAAATATTTTGGGTAGAGCTCAGAGTGACATGACTTTGTTTGCTCTTTTTTTTTTTTTTTCCCAGAACAGATTATTTCCTGGATTGCTGTGCACTGAATATGAAAGCCAGATCAGTTTCTTTTTATCCCTGTGGTTACACAAGGCCACAAAAAGCACTTTTTTTTCCTCTCTTGGCTCTTGGCGAAGGCGGTCGCACTTTTCTCCTCTCCTCCTTCCCCTTATCTTCCCTGCTTAGCCTCTTGTGTCCTTGTCCTGTCTCGTGTGTATTACTTTCCCTGGAACAGTCTCTCACTGTCGTTCTCTAAAACCTAAAAGAGAATTATGGATTTGATCAACTGGTCTCTGAATGCTATTGACACCCTTTTCTCAACAAGAAGACTGGGCTTGGGAGAGCCCGAGTGCCCTGGAGGGACATTCCCTGCCGGATACACGATGGACGGGTGGCAGAAATGGAGGATCATGTGCCTGGCGGGACTGTCGATCGAGGACGCTGAAGATATCTGATCGGAGCTGGCTTGGCCCTGGCTTATCAGAGAATTAATTCAAACACCCCCCCCCCCCCCCTCCCCCCAAGGCTGCCCGCTGGAGATTGAAACGATGGGACGAGGTGCGACTTCTCACACCGGACGCAGCATGGTTAACACCTTGGAGACGCTTACAGCTGCCGTAAAGACTCAAAATAACACCATTGAGCGTATATTGGGATACATCAAAGAGAGGCCTGCTCAAAATGAGACCCTTGAGCGAAAGTTGGAACACATCGCAGAACGGCTCACTGCAGTTGTGGGGTCTCAGAATCAAAAGCATGACAACACCACGGGACGGAAGTTTGATACCCTCATGGGGAGGCTCGCGGTTCTCCAACGGGAAATTGAGAGACCAGTGTCGGAGTGTTAAGAACAGCTTTGAAATTCTCCTGAGCTGCTCGCATAAAAGAAAAATCAACAACATCAACATGCAGACACCACGGCGCCAGCTGCGGGCCCAAGGCTGGAGCCGAACAAAAGCTCCCAGATAACGACTGTGTGTTGACTATTCTTCCCATTCCATGCAAGGCCACCTGGGTTGGCTGGCAGACTGTATACTTAGCCTGATAGGGCGGAGGACACTGTCTCAGCTGAACTCTGGACACGCGCACACACATATACTTACACTGATAAGCACGTACTCATCCCCCTCCCTTTCAAAATGCTTGTTTCCTGTGTGCCGCGCTGGAATGGTAGCGCTGTGCAGGATGACTGCTGTGTTTCCTTCGGATTTCTCCTCACCCCCTACCCAACCTTGTGGCTTGTCACGTGCTCCAATGTTGTACTGTGGACATTTATGTGCTCTCTGTGCAGAGGAGTTTTTTTTTGTTTCCTGTTCTCATGCTGTCCTCCCATAGGTGCCCAGCATGAGTATAGGTCTCTTTTTCCTCTTCTACTTTCCCATTGTTGTGTACTTTTTCAGTGTTTTCCTGTAACGCTGCCAATCTCCGACCTGTATTCCCATGTGATGTCTATGTTGTGTGCGTAAGTCGGGGGGGTTTCTATTCCACTGCGGGGCAACCTGCATGTGGCCAATAGAGTCTTTCATTCAACAATGAGCTATTATACGAAAACCCGCTGAGAACATGTGAGTCCCCACATGTCGTTTTCACGTCCCACGTCTCAGACAAAGTAAAACGTGAGACACATTTCGTTTGATGTGGTGTCCAACTTGTGTCGTTTAGTTTATTTCAGTGTTTTATTTTTGAGAACACATGTTATACTTGTTTTAGCAGCTCATTTTTAACTAAAACTGTTATTAAGAATATTATGATATAGGATTTTAGTGCTGTTTGTGGATATTCTGAAGACTGATGTAAAGTTGTCTTCAGAAACGATCAAGTTATGTGTTTTTAATATTCATTTCAGCTGCATCCTAAACTCTATTTTATATATTATTCCAGTGTAACAAACAAATCTGTCTAGTCTTTACTGGAACCTTTCAAAATAATTCACAGTTGAAACACTCCAACTCACAACAGAGCATCCCTCCATCAGGTCCAACCTACTATCAGTGGCTCTAAGGTGCCTGTGCTGATAGCTCTAGGTCTAACAAACTGCATTCAAAACAGGTGGGTTATGTGGTGGCTAACTGTCCAAAGATATAATGGGCATAACAAACTTAAAAAAAAAATTAAAAGAGGACCATGTGAGACATGTAAATCAGAAATTCTAGTAAAGTTTTTTTTTTTTTTTTTTCTCTTCTTTTTAAAATCTCTAGTAAATGGCCACACAGAGACCAAGTTCACGCGCTATTTGCAAGCCACACATTCTGGAAACGACATTCAACCTGCAGCCATTTTGTTAAGGGCAACTGCCATTAGTGAAGCTAGACTGAAAAGTAATAGCCTGGACTGAAGTCTTAAAAACAATGGAGACATACCTTTTATGATTTAATTTTAACCTTGCTGTTTTTTCTCTCTCTCTCTTTTTTTTTTTTTTAAACCTTGGATACTTCTTTTCTTAAAGAAAACTAATAAAATAGAGATCGCCCCGTGCTTTAATTCTGAGATGTTTATTATAGAAATTAATTTTAAATGAGAGTGAAAGTGATAAAAGTACTCACCTTCCAATGCAGGTTTGCCAGCCATGTTTTTGTTTTTTGTTGTTTGTTATTTCCTAAGCAGTTGATCAAGTGTGTTCACTTTCTGGGGGTGACATTGAATAGTTTCGTTTCACTGAAAGAGCTGTAATATAGTCTGACCGTAAACTCCTCCCCAAGTGACACAAACAAGAGGTGGAGTAAATAACTTAGCTGCCCTCCAAATCCCGGTATGGCAGTGTAGGAAGTCAGAGACTCAAAAAATCACCCGTTTCTCTGAATCCGACTTAGTATTGATGATCACCCCCTGTGATTTATTTAGGCTTCATCTATTAGTCGGTCAAAGGTTCGCTGTTATTTATTCACACACAGGAACAGAATAGACAAAAGATTCTGTAAACGAGAAATCCATTTTCCAAATCTGACTTGGGGGAGATATTACAGTGTTTAGAGATGATATATGTAAAATAAAATAGATGTAGTGACATCATAAAACGCCTCAGCAAGCGTGGTGTGAGACGAGTATTAATTAACTCTATTCACAATGAAAGTATATCACTCTATATTTAAACAGATAAAAATAAAGGCAAAGTATGTAAATACTTAAGAGCCCGTTCCCTTCCCTCTCCACCCTCCTTTATCTTTGAAGTTTCTGCTCTCCTTCGCTCTCTGGCGCCTTTTCCCTTGAGGCTTTTAGTAGGTGCAGCAGGTGAGCTGTTGTACACTTGTTTTCCATTTTCTTGTTTACCTCAGTATTTAAAGTTACAGTAGGTAAAAAACAAATCTTCACTACATCAGTTCAGCTGCTGAATTTGAACAGTTTAAAGTCAGACAGATGTGATTCACAGATTTGACCTAATAGTCAGGACACCGTGTATTTTCAGTAACGTCAGCCCCTCCTTTGCTCACGCCTTATGTAAACAGCCGTCCATAAGTAGCCTGTTTGAATTTTTACAGTCCTTAGGAGAAATTGGGGAGGGAGATGACTCCCGGGCATTCCTGAGTCTTTCGGGCCACGGCAAAGGCGGCCCGAGGAGGAGTGGGCACTGCGGCTGCTGCCTCTGTTAGTGTGTCTCAGCTTGCCCACCTTTTCGCTGATGTTTGTGAAGGGACCAGCTGGTTGACGCAGCGAGGGAGGTAGTAGTAATGCTGCCAGAGGACCATTTGACCGCGCGACCCATAACGCCATGAGGGCAGCCACGACCCTGAGGAGATGTTTCTCTGCAGGGCAGCAGGGTGCACCAAGGTCGTTATCTCCAACTCCCGACACAATTTGCTTCCTCTGCGTCAGGAGCGCGCACCGGGCAGGGACAGCGGATCCAGTTGACTCCGCCTTCATTCCAACCTGCGAGACGTGGAAATAGTGATGTTTTACTTTTGTGCGTGCGGGGGGAAGGGGCGGGGGGGGTTGTTACGTTATGGTTCAGTGTATGGATTACAACAGAGCGTTCTACCATAGCTCTTTTCTTCCACAGTCTACTTCCTACAAAACTTTATACATTTCAATGAAATTGTAAAGCTGAAGGATCAAGATTACTCAATTATTTTGGGCTAGCAGCATGAACGTAAAACTGTTAAAGACTCAACTTGAAATGCAGACAAAATTAAAGAAATAAAATTGTTAACATTATAAGGCAGATTATACACAATTACTCTTCAGTGTACCCATGGAAAACTTGCTGTCACTGTGAAAACGTTTTACAAGGCAAACAACGAAAAGCTTTTTTGTACATGTGGGCTTTCCACACAGAGCTGGTGGAACCATTGCATACACCTGTCCCACTGAATCTGTCAAAAAAAAAAAATAGGGCCAGCCTTAAATTTCTAAGGATTTCTTGTAACCGCTTGACAACAAGAATTTATGATTAAGTTTCCCCAGCTGTCATCAGTGTCACGTTCTCTCGCTGCAGTAGTGGCAGGTAAATACCCCATTGTTAAGAAACAATTCACAAAGACGCAGACTTGACACTGAACTAAACCTACACTAAACACGAGGGCACATGACACAAAACCTAAGGACAAAACCTTAAACCAGAATAAACTGAAACATAGACTCATAATAATAATCAACAAAGCATAACAAGACAATCAGGATACCACCATAATAAAGAAAAATATAGGAAACTGAAAATCCTGGGTCAAAATGACCCAGAGCCGTGACACATAACTTTTCAGAGATGACATTTTTCTTTTCAGTTGTGTAGCTAGTAACTGGGAATCAAAGTAGCTAACCTCTCCAAATTACTGTTATATCAGTTAACAACAGCTTATCAGATAACAAGCTTAAACATGAAAAAGTACATCAGTTTATTGATTTGTTTAAATAAAACAGCTCATTCATTATTTCTGTAATACATCCAACTTTCATAAATGTCTACATATTTAAAATATTACAAATATTTCAACTGATTGGAGTATAAGTTTTCATTTTGCATTAAAATAAACAAATAATAATAAAAAATAAATATTAACAATTAAATAAAAAATACTGTTAGGACTTACTAACAAACAGTGTTATTATTACACCTGAAAAGCATGAATTCTGGGATCTCCAAAAGTTGATTCTGTTCATCTGGTTGTAGCGTTTTCAGTGGGAGAAACGTTTCGTCACTCATCCAAGTGACTTCTTCAGTCTGAGCAGACTGCAGGTTTCCCCAATCTTATATAAGATTTCATACACACACTCAACACACACAATGAAACTACACGAAATGAGTATACCACTAAACTTGAAGTAAAATTATGAAAATTCAAAGAAAGAAAGTATAGAAATACAAAAAGCCTAAATTTAAAACCTAAAATATCAGTAAAGCCTAAAACACAACCTTCACTGTCTTGGGTCAAAAAAGGTTCGGTAATATTAAGGGGACACATTTGCAACCCGAAGTTCATTCCACTTTTGTGACCTGTCATTAAACAAACAGGTAAACAAATCAATAGGATTGCAACAAGGACTGAATGGATCCAAGTACAAGTGAATAAGATTTATTGAGACTTTTTGGAATAAAGTATAAATGTTATTGTCCTTCAAAATGCCTTATATGTGCTACTTTTCCAGCTTTGTAATATGTAGATTTTGTTGTGTAGCCTCTTATTTGTGATTGTCTCTGATCACTCTGTTTTGTTTCTGACATAACAGAATGAGAGCGAAGCGCTCCATTTATGAGCAAATTAACCTTATAGCAGCTTTATCCAAAAAGCAGTATGGATTTGTGTGGATTGTTATGTGTAGTCAGAAATGTTTTGCATTAATATAAGAGGAATTGAATATCTCATTAAACTCCAAACAACAGATCTGCAGGAAAAATATCAAATCATAAGTAAAGAAATATTAATACTTAAGCAAAAGACACAGCAAAAGTATGTCTCTTTCTGCAATTTCACACAAATCTGTTATTGTTTCAAGCTGTTGATGGTAGCATAGATGTTTAGAGGTTTGGGATAAGAGCAGGGGGAAGCTTTCACCATACTGTAGGTAACTGCTTCATCTTCATCTCTGCCATTTTTTGCCAGAACCTAGAGGTTAATTTACATTGTGATTAGTTTTATAATGCATACAGTCACTTGCCATTTTGTTAGGCTCACCTGTTTGACTGCTCAATAATGCAAATAATCACATAATCATATGTCAGCAATTGTGCATTTGCTAAAATAATGTAGTAGTTTTTTGTCGACATGGTCAAGGTGATTTCCTGAACTTCACACTGAGCATCAGAATGGCAAAGAAAGGTAATTTAATTGATGTAGCATGATTGTTGGTGGCGGACAGGTTGCTCTGAGCCATTCAGAAACTATTGATGCACTAGGATTTTCCTTTATAGACAAAAGTCATTAAAAAGAGAGGAACTCCACTGAGCAGCAGTTCTCTGAGCAAAAGGCCTTGTTGATATGAGAGGTCAAAGGCCAGTTTGCGTCTAGCTGATGGAAAGGCATCAGTAACTCAAATAACCAATTATTAAAACCAAAGTAACCAAAACGAAAATAGAAAATTGGAAAAATGTTGCCTGTTCTAAAGAGTCTTAATTTGTGCTTTTAAATTTGAAAAGCAGGGACTTTGGTTTAAACAAAAGCATGGCACCATCCTGTTTCAGTCTGGTGGTGGGTATATTGATGTGAGAGATATTGTGATCTTGGGCCTTTTCTTTATGCCAAAGCCAAACTGTTGTTGCTGACCATGTCTTTTTTCTTTTTTTTACCCATCTTTTGATAGTTGCTTCCATCAGGATAATGTGCCATGTTATCCAGCTCAAATCACCTCACATTTGTTTCTAGAATAAGAAATTGGGTTCAGTGTACACCTTTGGGATGTGGTGGAGTGGGAGATGTCATCAAGGGTCTGCAGCAACAGTGTGATGCTATCATTTAAATATGAATCAAAATTCATGAGGAATGTTTGCCACTAAGAATTAAGGCAAAAAGGGGGCCCAGCTATGTAAAAGCAAAGTGTACATAAATCTGCCCGGTCCATGTAATTGATAACAATAAGGTTACCAAAGTTTTAGTAGTGCTCTTGGTGAAGGTGATGGAGGCATAGCGAACAGCATCTTCAGGATCAGCCGACACAGAGACAACAACATAATGATTGCTGGGTTGATTCCACACTTCAGAGAGGAAGCAGTGCATAACTCTTTGCTATTACAGAGAGCTGAATAGTTGTGAAAGCAGACTGAGTCAGTATAAGGTCATTTTTCTGTTTTCTTCTTCTCTTTTTAAAAAAGAAATTGGATATCATCATAAATTAAAAGAAAAAAATTGCTGAATTTATTTTAATTTAATAAAACATTAAAAGATAAAATACAATTTTAAGTTCGCATGTGCTTAGTTTATCCCAGATTGGGATACAAAAAGTATTTAACAGTCATAGCCTATAACAAGCTTATAATTAAAGCAAAACTTACAGTGATTTCCCTGGTCTGCAATCTGTTTTCAGAAAAAGAGAAACCCAATAGAGTCTTCAGGCTGCTTAGATATTTTTATTTATAAAAGGTTCATCTTGTGGAGGCTCTTACCTTTAAATTTCTTCCACTGGATGGATGGATGGATATAACAAGAACTACACATATTAGGAGTGCTACTACACCCACTAACGCAGCAATCACCTTCCCCCATTCTGAAGAAAAGGACAACATTTAAAAAAATTTCCAGTTTCTGTTCTGTTCATTG